GCAATCGCGTTTTGAAGTTACTCTAGTGCGCGTTTAAAAGTATTTTTTAGTATGTTGATTATTGGTTGTTCTAAAACTATAATATGTATTACAGTTGTAATCGCGTGAAACTTATGACATGTACGACCACTTACATCATTCAGGGACGTGTGGTCACGACACGTGGTTAACATTGTTTTTGTACATTCAACTGAATTGACAATTTTGAACATTTCGTTTCTACCATATAACTATAATCAGTTTTATGTGATCAACAAGTGTTTGGTAATTTTTAACAACGACATATAATATAATAATTACGAAGCCAGTGTAACAGGCGACCCCGTTGAGAAGCATATTTAATTCTGCTGAATCAGGACTGTGCCAAATAATTTGTAGATACTATTTGGGTTGTGTTGTTGGTTGATTTGTTGACATATCAAAGGCAATTATAAAAAAATGTGTCAATCTAACTGCTATAATTACTGTGCCTATAAATAATAATAAACTTCGGCGGACAAAAACTATTGCATCAATTGGAATGTGTTATTTTCTACTGTATAAATAAATAATATATAAAACTGTGGAATGAAATACCCGCTAATTGTGTTTGCAACATTAGTGCGTTTGCAGCGCTGTGCAAATTGTGCCCAAAATCATAAAACTGTTGGCTAGTGGGAGGCACTGTGTGACGTCATCGATTTAAGCACGATATCAGAAGTTCAAAGCTCAATTTATTACTTCTTGTAATATTAGTAGCTTAATTGTACTATATATTAAAAGTGAATGTAAAAAAACCTTCACTTAAAAAAACACCCAAGCTGTAAACCTATGAATTGTGATCGCAACAATGATCAGTTTCAAGCACTGTTTAAGCTAATGACGCTATATACTATATTTTATACGCTAATATTATTAAAAATATAATGTATCGAGTGTGAAAATACAATACGTCATAAAGATAATACGTGTATTGTAACAAAAGAAAAATATAAAAATTGCAACTTGTGGCTACATAGTTTTAAATTGGCATTGCAATGACCGCGCGAGCCAACGCACAGATTACATAAAAAAAAAACTAATAAAACTGCGTCATTTTCTAAGTATACAGACAGACTGAGTACCGGTTTAAGTACTATATTGCTTATTTTCCACTCGAATGGTCAAAGTTGATGTTATTTACTGAATTATATTTGACCGACCGCGCCAAATTAATTTATTATTAGGCATATCTGCACTTGTAGAATATGCATATGTATGTATATATGCATATCGACGCTTGAAAGGCAAACGTGAATAAACGACAATAACTGCTTTGTACATAAATGATAGGCAATAACAATATGCGCAAAAAAAAATATTTCTAGGTCTATTAAAATCATTTCAATCCTACAGCTAGATTCGTTAAAATAGAATTTTTTTCAGGTATTTCAACTTTAAATTAGTATATTGTAAAGTTCACTCATTGTCGCTTAATCACGTTTGCCTTTCAAGCGTCGATATATATATGAATAAGTTATGCTTTAATCTCGCTTGTTCTTTTATTGGCTTACAAGTTCCGAATGCACGTCAGTACCCGTAATCAGACAACCAAACAACAGATGTACCAATATAAATAAAAATAAACCCGAGAACACGTAACAGTGCCATTAGATCGTGTCCACGATTCCCGAATTTGTTCCGAATCGACTATGACATAGGTGTTTATATCTTATTTATGAACAGGTAAATAAATTAGTTTCTGGAAATTTTATAAGACGTTAATAGAATTGCGACAACTTTGAAAGAAATCCTCGTTAGGTTGGCACTTGGTATTCAACAGCGGATGAAACTGTTATGAAACACAGCCACTATGTGGTCATCCGTCTGGCGCGGCTGGCAGGATACCCGACTGACTAATAGTGAGCTTGAAGGACGAAGGTAGTGGAGGCGGCTTGAGTGTACCCGCGCGGCACACGGCACGTGTAGAATTGCGAACGAAACTTTGAAGTCAGCAGGGCGTATCTAGTTTAATTACTATTATTTTTCAATTAATTTTGTCCATACATGTATTCAATCAAAGTAAGCGGTGTATATCTATTTATTGTATGTGTATATTTTCTATAATAATGTATTTATTGCCAATAGTACACCGCAACATACCTGTTATATCTTTATCTTTTCCAGAATTTCTGTAAATTAAACGGTTGTCTGGAAGAGATCGCTAAAAGCGATAAGACCGCTTATTGTACAAATGTATCTGCTTGTTTACTGTGTACAATAAAGCATATTCTCTCTCTCTCTATTAACTAGTATTATTCAGAAAATCAAGGTATGCGAGTCTGTTCTCTTTTTCTAATTACTTCTCCTACTCGTTTTGTAGATAATCTGTCCGAATGCAGACTAGTGGTTACCAAAATAAAGACTGATTAGTACCGATACTGCTGCGCTCGTTCTGTGTTCACATAAAACTATAAGTAATAAAAGTATTTAATGAATGCGTATTAGTGATAACTTACTAATATTAAGAATGAACATTTCCACCATTCTTCGAGGACAATTTCCTTATATCCAATGTGTTTCAATTTGTAAAATAACATTGAAAACGACCACTTTAATAAATCTGTGTTGTTTAAGGCGAATGTTAGTAATATTGTTTAACACAACCTTGAGTGAACTTGTGATTGTTTAAATTATTAATAAGGTACTCGACACAGTTCAATCTTACATTAAAATGTAGTTAAAAGTGATAACTAAGACAATATTAAACCTTAAACCGTTTCATTAACAAACTAACATTAATTATTAAACACAAATATACCGATTTGAACTATATTAAATTTCTTATTGCTTTTTCTTATACATTTTTTAAGCACAGACCGATATTTTTTTACTGTCCAAAATTAAACCCGGTGGAATATTTAAGGGTCGGATTATATTATTATAATTAAAAAATAATTGGTATTAAATCACGTAAGAAGCTCGGAAAAACTAAAGTAAAAGTTGCTACTTACTACATGTAGTAGTAGTAATAGCTGCTTACCTTGAACTGGGTAGGTTTGTTTATTAGTGTTTTAAACTTTTCTGAAATTCTGGTAGGTACTATTTTACTTCAAAAGAAATCAACAGAATTCTACTTCCAAGGAAATATTGTAAGATAAAAAATTAACTGTATAAAATTAGTATCATCAACAACAAAAAAAGTGTAAAAGATAAAACCTTGAAAAATCACTGTATCTGATATACTAATATTAAGTTATACGGAACCAAAATTTACACCCTGTGACAAAATCTAGGGTCAAAGATAAAAATCTAGAATTTTCTGAAACCCTAAAATTACACTTAAGTCTAATTAGCTTAGTGTAATTGAATTATCAGGTACATTTTCCCTTTTTATAGTATTAAATCATCATTTATTACACGGACGCATAAAGTTGAATTTCATCGACTTAGAGGAGAGAGAAACCATTATAATTAATTAATCAGCAATACATTTATATTAATCTGTTGTAGCACGTGGAATGTTAACCTCACCGGAACGATTCTAAGAGGTAGTAGATATTATTAGTAGTAGTTTAAATAGCTTTTGAATTCACTCCGTCAAGCTGGTGACTGATAAATATGTTTACACATAGTATCGGCTTTCAATAAATACACAGAGTTAAGAGGAAAACTCGTTAAAATTAATGATCTGCATGTAATGTACGCGCCGGTGTGTGTGGCGATAGAGTGACGGACGCAAACCATCAGAATTGCAACATAATATGTAGATTCAGCGCGAAAAGAAAATATACAACCTGTAGCACCAGCCCGGTCGGCGAATAAATGATGATTTCATTTCTGTACTTTATAATAGATATTTACAATCAAAACTTATAAAAAAAATCATAAGCTTATATACTACATCTTCGTTTTCACACTTTATACGTTCCAAATTGATTACATTTCAAACCATTAAAAGGGTGTATAACTTATATAATTGTACCGAGGTGCTTCATTAGATAAAGGTAAAACACGACAATCGTATAGAATTAAAACAAAACGTGATGTTTAATTGTATTGTTAACTTCTGTAGAGATAAACAATTAGAAAATAATCTATGCATCTTTGAACTATGGAATAAATAAATGGACATAATTTCTGTAACAGAAAGTCTATGTTGATAATCCAACGGTAATGCTGTGCAGCTTCGGTGCTCACTTTGCACGCACGTGGCTGCTTAACGTACACAGACTAACTAAATAACATTTCCAGCTTGCTATAGACGGATCGCAATGGGCAATATTGGAAAACTATAAATAAAGTTAGATGCGCTCTGAATAATAAATTATGTTTAAAAACAACTGTTTGAATTTGAAGTTTAAACTACTTTAATAAATATTGTCAACAAATCATCAGGGTTGAAACTTAACTTGTTAATCTAAGGATAAAATATCAAAGAACCTTAAGTCGCTAACAATAAATAAATGTACTATAGGCTGCGGGGCGCGGGCGACGTCCGCCGCGCGCGTCGCCTGTGCAGCGAGCAGCTTACAACAAACAAAATGAGGTAGTTGCTAATTGTGATATGGAATTCATGAAAACAGTAGCAGCAGTTGAAACAACGCGGCCCTAGCGCTATATTATTATAGTCTCATTAATATTTTGAACGCATCAATAACATCAAGGATAACGCGTATAAACATTTTTTTAAATTTAATATTATCGAATAGTTCGTTGTAATATTTTTATTTTTATTTATACATTATGTCAGATTTATATATTATGTACATATATATTATTTTTATTTCTACCTACTCGTTTTAAAGTTAATCTATAAGAATAGTGTTATTTTTATTTTAACTGTAATTATTCGTTACTATAATAAATTTTGTGTGCGTTTTTCATGTTATTGTGATGTGATTGTCTGGAGTGGAATGTCAACTTCAATTGTGAGATAGCTTCTGTGGCTTTTTAACCTGTTATTTTGTATTGAAAATAAATATACATCTATTTTATTTCAACGCCCGTAAATATTACCGAATGTTATTAACATTTCATGAATTTATATCTGTGTTCGGATTGTATTTTGGTCTATATTTTGTACGATTACTTTGCACTAATGGTATCCACTATTATTTTTTAGTACTTTATTTTTTCGTGCTTAACAGTTCTGAGGCTACGCTTAGACAAATGCTGTGAAGTGTTTGTGCGGCATGAGGCATGCGGTGTTGGTCCGCAGCCACAGCCGCACGCCGACCCACGCGCGTGTCGCGAGAATAACTTCGCGTGGCATGTCCGTTACAACGACCGACAATTTTTCATTACAGTTTAGTTAAATAACTCTTAAATTATTTTTACCCGTACTATTGTTTACGAAATATCAGCCTTATCGAAAATAAAGTCTATAGGAACGAAACACGCCAAGCTATCCTCGCCAGCGTCCGGGGCGACGCTTCAGATCCTGTCCTATACAAAACTGTCAATCTCAAACTGGAGGGACGCGACCGGGGGGGGGTGCTCCTACCCCTCGTGTAGTTCCGCGCGAGGGAGGGGGCAGGGGCACTCAGCCGTTGGGCTGAAGGGTGGGCTGCACTTTGGTGTCTTCCGGGGAGGAGGGTGCGGGGCGGGGGAGCTCGTTCATGTTGTCGTCGGGCAGCTTGTTGTAGCGGCGCGACAGGTCGTAGGGGGTGTGCGTGGGGGGCGGGGGGTCGGGGGGCGGCGCCGCGCTCTCCTCGTGCCGCGACAAGTCGAACGCCACCTCGTACCGGCGCTCTCCCCTGCGCGCGCGCCCGTTCGGCCTCTTCGACTGTACAGAACACTTTATTGAGTTTAACTATTTTTACACGCTTTATATTAGCATCACTTGTATGTATGTTTGTATGTTTGTAACTGACTCCTTTAGACGCGATTTTGACCCACTTTAAACGGCCAGATTTCATTCAAACTTTGTAGATTTATCGAGGACCGAGGACAAATCAATAATTAAAAAAAATAGAAAAAAAATGAAAGAATTGAAATTCATCTAAAAAATGAAAAATAAATAATAGTTTAAAAAAACTACTAAACACGCTTTATATAAAATTCAACTAAAAAATAGAAAATGAATTTTAATAAATTTAAATTGAAAATAGTGTAAAAAAATATAAAGGTGTATATTATTGTAAAAAAAGCGTGGGGTGCATGGTGTTATTAGTTATAAATATTTTTCTGACAGATATGAGTAGAAGAATTATTATTACAATACCTAATTTCTTAAAAAGCACCCCACGCTTTTTCTATGTTTTAGTTGAATTTCATATAAAGCATGTTTTTTAGTTTTTTTAAACTATTAATTATTTATTACAATCAGTCAATGAATAAAATATCAAAACGGAACTTTGTCTATCCGTTAGCGCTTTACAATTTTGTTTTTATAGAAGGTTCTAATACAAGTACTATTACGTAATAATAGTAAGTGGCTATTAAAGCTAACGTTTAAGCTTTCGCTTTAGTCTCTAAAGACACCATTAAAAGCGAGTTATTGAAAAAAAGCACAAATTGCGCGTAATGTAATTTACTGGTCTTATTATTCTTATTTTTACTGGTGGTAGCTCTTGTGAGTCCGCACGGGTAGGTACCACCACCCTGCCTATTTCTGCCGTGAAGCAGTAATGCGTTTCGGTTTGAAGGGTAGGGCAGCCGTTGTAACTATACTTGTGACCTTAGAACTTATATCTCAAGGTGGGTGGCGCATTTACGTTGTAGATGTCTATGGGCTCCAGTAACCACTTAACACCAGGTGGGCTGTGAGCTCGTCCACCCATCTAAGCAATAAAAAAAAATGTAATTAGAATAACGATTAATAGATAACAGAAGCGCGAGCTCAGCCGTCTCCTGACACGCGGAGGGAGCTTGGAGTCGGCGCTGCTCGATACAACCTGTGGCTCTGGTCACCACTATAGGCGGGGCGGGCTGTGAGCTCGGCCACCCGTTTATCCAGTAAAAAAAAAGTACCTCGACGTGTAAGTTTTCTGGGATGTTGGATAGTCTACAGTACAGTTGAGTACATTATAAATCCTATTTATAAATAAAGAGCCATCGTTTTGAATTGAACCAAGCCAATTACGCGTCTCTTTTTTTTATTGCTTAGATGGGTGGACGAGCTCACAACTCACCTGGTGTTAAGTGGTTACTGGAGCCAATAGACATATACGACATAAATGCGCCACCCACCTTGAGATCTTGAGATATAGGTTGCCCCACCCTTCAAACCGAAACGCTTCACGACAGAAATAGGCTGGGTGGTACCTACCCACTTACTTACTTACAAGACTTACAAGAGGTCCTACCACCAGTAATAGATAACAAGAGTGAAGTAGTCACCGAAGGGTTCTCTGTGATGTGGACGGTGCCGTTGAGCAGGGGCTCCCCGGCGTCCTTGACGCCGTTGGCGAGCCGCTCCCTCACTGCGCGATCCTGTCATAAAGCCTTGGCAGTTTTAATTTCAATTTTAATATCACGACAATAGATTCATTTCACATTAAAATAATAGGGAGTCAATAATGAAAATAATAATTATTGTTAATGGTGCAATCGACACACGGCACGGGAGGTGTCCTCGAGAAAACGACCAGCCGTGTCCACCAGTGGGGCGGCCAGGGGGAGGGCACCCCAGCTCGAGTGGAACTCCAACTGCTGCAATCTGCTTTTATGCTTAAGTTAGTTTTCAGATCATACTCGTACTACATAACACTCATTATGGAAGTCATTCACGAATTCCATTGTAAAATAATAAACATAAAAATGTAATATATAAAAATATATATTTTCACCTCAGCAGCTCAAACATGCCGGTTTCGCTGCTAGACAACAGTGAACTAAACGCGATTTTGAATCGAGCGTGGGTCAAAGTAGGTTTTTAATTTTTTAATTTTCCGTACCACGAATTGACATTGTTCAGTCATAAATTGGAAACATTCGAATTTTACTGTGCTCTGTCTCTGTCACATGCATATAAGAAAGCGAGTAAAAAAAACAAATCCCTCCACTTCGATAAAGCGGCACGACACGAGAACCCTCTCATCGTGGCCGCCGGTAACTACATTCCCGATCTTGCGGACAGAATGGAAAGCAGTCGACGTCGTCCCAAACACGTCATTTCGGATCCTCCCGATCCACTAACGGTGCTTTTAGGTACCTCAAGCACCGGTCACCGTTCTCGTCGAACCCGTCGCTTGCGACGAAGGGCTCGACGAGTAAATTAACCCTCAGACACAGCCCACTGAGTTTCTCGCCGGATCTTCTCAGTGGGTCGCGTTTCCGATTCGGTGGTAGATTCTGCGAAGCACGGCTCTTGCTAGGGTTCCTGTTAGCAACGTCATCAGGTTCGAGCCCCGTGAGCTCACCTATTAGTTAAGGCGACGCTGATATAGCCTCTTAAGGATATCAGCTTAGGCAGGAAAAAAAAACAAATCCCTTCGAAATTCGATTTTGGAATTCGACCTCAAAGAAAACACGTTCGGAAACGCGTAATACCCTAAAATTTAAAGATATTTGTGATAAAGAAATTAGGTTTTTTTTTTAAGTGAAACTTCTTTAGGCGCATGAGGGTAAAATTTTTACAGATGTAACGTCTCGCGGGTATGCAACGGAAGTATCGAAAAAGAGAGAGAGAGCGATCGAGACCGATTGAGAGAGAGTAAGACAGGGCGAACGTAGCATGAAGCAACTAGCCATGGAGTGAGAGTAGGGAGCAAGCAAGTGAGAAAGATCGAGAGAAAAAGTGAGACAGAATGCTCAGTTTCTACATACTTTAAAACATACGTATAAAGTATTTTATTTTTAATACAGCGTCATCTGTGAGATGTTTTAATACTAACGTGTGTATGAAACCTCTTGTAGTGAATTTTAATTTAGGATATACGTGAAGATAAAGTATCAATTCACAGAGGGCGCTACCTCATACATAAAAGGTGATTTACAATTATTTACTAATGACAAAATTTTACTAATAATATACTTAGACATTTAGGATAATTGTATTTTAATTTTTGAAGGTTTCACTTCTAATACGTGTGAATTGCACACATGTTATTTTTTTAATAGCTATTTCAATATATTCCTGTTCATTTCTATGTCTCCTAAGTAATATGTGTTCTCACTGCTGAGGTGAAAAGTTATGTGTGCTACACGAGAGCAAAGTTTTTTGCATCTCGTGCTGTTGAATCCCTCACTACGCTCAGGATTCTATCATAGAAGCCTTCGCTTGCCCGGGACTCAAAATCAGCACTCGAAACAAAAAACAGCTTTGCTCTCTTGTTGCGCAAATATCTGTTGTAGTTGTGTTTGATTCAGTTAAAGTGCTCCGTCATCAGGGAGCCGCCCGGCGGTGCGGGGTCCACGCCGGATATATAAGGAATAGGTACACGTAAACTTACATTAAGTACATATACCTGTAACTCGCAGCTCTCGCCCTGGCCGTCAGTTGTTGAAACGTTTCTTCGACGAGAGCTGGTAATCAAACATCAATTAATGTAGTTGAAGCACTAAGTTCTAGAAACATTTCATCAGTTAATATTTCGTTATGGGGGCATTTCCATCACTTGAAAGATTTAAATTTGAAACTTTATCTATATATTAATACGTGAAGGAAAGCTTTGTATACCTTTTTACGAAAATTGCGCGGACGGAGGAGTATGAAAAAAAACATTACACACACTACCATGTATTTGACGCACACACGCATATATACTATTTATTGTCAAACTTTTGTTCTTGACGTCTGTGGTCAAATTGAGAATACATTAAATATTGTTTGTCTTTATTAATATTTTTCCATAGTGTAGTCTTGCCGATATTTGTGATTATAGAAGTATACAAACTTACAATTTCAACTAATTATAGTCGAATTTCGACTACTGCGGGGCCACTAGTACACATAGATGAGTGCATAACATTGTTAATGGATTACCGGTCAGGGGTCAGGAACCTCTTCCTGTGCCTCCAGATGCAGATAGCAGCCACCGCGAGCACGAGAAGCAGCAGCACGCCTCCCACTATGCCCAGCCCTGGGACGTACCGTTTAAATTAGACTATTACCAGTAACTGACCAATTGAATAGAAACAAGCTTTAATCTAATTTATTTTCGTTAAAAGCTTCTTTTAAGTTGTATGATCTAATTTTCAACCAAAAAACAAAGTCTTTTGCAAGTAGGCAAGTATCATTAACACAAAACGTGTAATTCACAACAATATATTACCCAGGTAGAGTGTGGAGTAGTCAGACGGGTGCGGCGGAATGGTCACAACTTGTGATTTCTGGTCCGTTCCAGGGGCAGCAACCACTAAGTACGTCTCTACATTTGGGTCTAAGTCCGTTAGCTGTTGAGGAAAATTCATCTATATACCTAGGGGTTTTTTGAAGAGGATCCAACAGCGTCATTAATTGAAAATTTATCAATGCAAAGCTTATGAGGACCAAAAGCCGTTCACTTCAACTAAATCTTCAAGATCTACTTCAGTTGTCGTAAAAATAAATTTCTATCATACTTCTTTTAAGGAAATGTTTTCTAAGCACTTGTTTACGAACAACTTCGACGATGAAAGAATAACATTACAATTACGTTTTTTTTCTTCCGCTTAGATGTGTGTACGATCTCAGAGCCCACCCAGTGTTAAGTGGTTATTGCAGCCCATAGACATCTACAACGTAAATGCACCACACACCTTGAGATATAAGTTCTAAGGTCTCAGTATAGTTACAACGGTTGCCCCCACCCTTGAAACGTTACGTTAGAGCCCATTCAAACATAGTCTCCGTGTATACGGTACCCGTTTTAACGGATACGACAAAAAATTATGCTTCGTTCACACGTAGGCACCGTACCTATAACGTTCAACGTATCCGTCATTCCTGGATACGATGTTCCGCTGCTATTCTACCAGGATCAAAGTTGTTTGTGTAGCTGCATCGCCCGCCGGCCCCCTCACCCCCGCACAGTTTCTATCCGGTAAAATTGTACGGAAACATGACGGATACGTATTCCGTTCATCCAGCATTCGATGACGAAACGGAATGTCAATTTACCGGATCGTTTTTATTTACTGTACACTGAATACTGTACCATATGTGAAGTCGCTCACACAACTCTATGCTACATCGATTAAAAAAGCATATTCGACAAAACGGACCAGTAAAACGGAGACCATGTTTGAACGGGCTCTTAACGTTGCCCCACCCTTACGTGGAGGCAATAAGTGAGTGGGGGGAGAGGCACGCACCGTGACGGAGTTGTGCGGCACCGTGAGCTCGACCCAGGAGTCCAGCGAATGCGTGAGGTTCTGCGTGTAGCGCAGCACGCGCGGCCCCCGCCCCCTCCACTGCACCGTCACCCCGCGCTCGCCCACGGTGTAGTGCAGATCTTCCACCACTAACCAAACTCTTATATCAAATATATTAAAAAAAAGGCATGCCCGCTGAGTTTCTTGCCAATTCTTCTCAGGACGGAGGCTAGTTCTTGTGAATTAGCGGTAGTTCTTTTGACGTTCAATAAGTATGTACTTTCATTTATGTTGAATTTTTTTTTTATTTGATATGATTTGATTTGAAACACGACCGGTCACTACACGCACCAGACGCTCCTGTCGTTACCAGGACCTTTCTACTACTGGTCTGGTGTATTCCAATTTCATTTTAATTCAAGAGGGTCGTTTTTAATACGCTTTTATTAGTCTGTTAGTATGTAACGGAATCTTTGAACATTATTTTGACCCCCTTCAAAACGTTGAATTAACTCGAAATTTGGTATACTTATTAAGAACCGATGACAAATCAACATTAAAAAAATTTGAAAAAATTGAAATTCAATTAAAAAATGAAAAATAAATAATAGTTTAAAAAAACTAACAAAATACGCTTTCCTAGAAAATCCAACTAAATTTGAATTAAAAATTGTGTAAGAAAAAATGATTTTATTGTAAAAAAGCGTGGGGTGCATGGTATCAGTAGTTATAAATATTTTATGAACAGATACGAGTAGAAGGGTTATTTTGATAATATCCTGAAAACACCCCTATTTATAAAAGCATATTTTGTTAGTTTTTTTAAGCTATTATTTATTTATGTTTAGTATTATTTTGGTTTATGTTTTTTTTCTTATATTTTTCGTACAACAGACCATCTTGGTACAAAATAATCAAATTGGATATAAAAAATACCGAAAAAATATCTCACCTGGGACTTCACTCGGTATCGTCGTGATTTCCCTGAAGCCCTCTGGCTCGTAGCCCGTCACCATCACGTGCAACTCCTTCGTGAGATTTAATCCTGTTAGCTGTATCAGAACAAGAAATTACTCGGTGGCCTGGTCATCTTTTGTAGCGCGTCAGGGATGTTTGCAGACGCGCACATAGATTGTTTTTACGCTACCATGCGTAAGAGGTGTACATCTCTGGTAAACAGAGTGAGGGCCAGCTCCAACAGTATCCTGAGCATGATCGCAAGCAGGCTGGACTGTATATACATGGGTCGCTGTGGTGCCATCTCCCATGGGATGTTACCACAGTAATTCATTGTGATGTAAATATAACTACTAACATAGGTCTAAGTCTTATTAACAATTTATATGAGTCATGGATACTTGAAATAAAANTCCAACAGTATCCTGAGCATGATCGCAAGCAGGCTGGACTGTATATACATGGGTCGCTGTGGTGCCATCTCCCATGGGATGTTACCACAGTAATTCATTGTGATGTAAATATAACTACTAACATAGGTCTAAGTCTTATTAACAATTTATATGAGTCATGGATACTTGAAATAAAAACATTATTATTATTATTATTATAATTATAATAAATGGGGGGGACCACCACCGCAGTAATTATCACCATACGACAGTAATTATTACATCGGACAAGGAGGGACAACATCTACTAAAGCACGCTAACCATCTGAAGACATGAGTTTTAAGTTCATACAGTACAACGACTGCCCTACCCTTCACACCGGAACACCTTACTGCTGCGTGCGGCAGAGCGGTGGTCTCAACCCTTGCGGACTCCCAAGACACCCTACCACCAGCACAACAGACCCTTGTTTCTTGTCCCCAATTAAATATAATTTTTCCACGCCGTGAGACATATACATACAAAAAGACACACTTATTGTAAAAAAACTAGTCTTTAATTTTATAAAAATAACGAACTGACCCGGCAAACGGTATTTAGCCATGTATGTTATTTCTAGGAAACATTTTTTTAGTTCAATAAAAATAACTATCTACTAGGTATAAGTGTGCGGGGATATATTTATAATCGAAAGCGTTATAAAGAATAAAAGTATGTTTTATTTAGGTTAATAAATAAATATTTATTAAAGTAACGAATATGTTTTAAATTACAATCTTTGATAGCTATCTAAGCATCAAAAATAATTATTCATATTTTTACTATCAATCATGGCAGTTGAAAAAAAAAATTAATCTCTCAGCGCAATAGAGTGTACAATATTCTTAGTTAGTCCGTCTTTAGCCAACATAAACAAACTGGATGGTTTTCCCACGCGAGAACATGCCACATATAGTTGTCCGTGGGAAAAGCACGGTGTTTCCAAATCTAAGCCACATACAGACAATGTTTGTCCTTGTGACTTATTGATCGTTATAGCGTATGCCAAACTAATTGGGAATTGAGTGCGTTTCAATTCAATTGACACATCTGTAAGAATCATAGGGAGTCGTGGCAGCAACACATTTTCGCCTTGAAACTTGCCGTTCAAGATGATGGCTTCAATAACGTTTTTCATTGATTTTTTGACTTGACTGACTAATCGTGTGCCATTACATAGCCGTGGTGGGTTTAAGTTACGAAGCAGAATAATCGGAGATTCAACCTTCAATTGTAAATGATGGTGGTGGCATGACTGGCATATCCAATGCATTTAAGAACTCTTGCCAAAAAAATGAAAATTTATAATTAACAAATAAAAAATAAGGGTTGATCGTAGAGGGATGAAAATTTAGGGTTGTATGCATTTTTGTATGCTGTTTCATAAAAAAATAAAAACAAAAAATGTTGTCTAAAAAATAACAAAAATAAATTTAGGGGTGGACCACCCTTAACATTTAGGGGGATGAAAAAAAGATGTTGTCCGATTCTCCACCCTGGCCGATATGCACGCTAAGATTCACGAAAATCGGTCGAGCGGTTTCGGAGGAGTTCAATCACGCACACCGTGACACGAGACTTTTATATATTAGATTGTACTCACCAGTATCGTATTCCCGGAAGTCTCGACGCTGGCCCATTGGTCAACGGGCAGCTCCAGGTCGTTGGAGTACTGTACAAGAAATTTTTTTTCCGACCCGCTGCTCCAAGATACCCTTATCGTGGTGGAATTTATGTATTTATGGTTCAAATCTTGGAAGCGCTCGATACCTGTGAAATAATGGTTTGGTTTCAGTATGGAAGTACTAGCTGAGCTCTGCCAGTGTGCAATACGTCGCGATCTTGGGATACTATTGCATCAGAAACCACTTGTCTTTGTAAATGAGGATCGCCCTTACAAAATTTTTATAAAATAACAAAGGTCTTGGGATCATGGGCTCTTAGACCATCGTCAAGACATGGTCTTGTCAAAGCAAGACATTTATTAATGACTAGCTTTTGCCCGCAACTTCGTCCGTGTGGAATAGTTACCTTGGCATAACGCTAAATTTTACCCGCCTCTTCATTTACGTAGAATATCATCTTTATAAAAACATCTTCACAAATAATGCATTATTTTAGAAAAAATTTGGTTAGCATAAAAAACGTTATAGGGAGTCAACCTTAACATATAGACATATGCTGTCGCGGACTTTTTTTTAGATCTTTTAAAGGGGAACAATTCTGTCATACATTATTTTAGCGAAAATTTTACGCATGCAGCGGAAGCTCTCAAAAGGAAAAAAAAAACATTTTGAAACATTCTTTATTGGTGCTTCGCTTGCGTTGGTCTTAGCGTGATGTTCTATAGCCTATAGCTTTCCTCGATAAATGGGCTATCTAACACTAAAATAATTCTTCATATCGGACCAGTATTTCTTGAGATTGGCGCGTTCAATATCTATATCAATAGATATCAGATGAAATCCAATTTTAAATAATTATTGAATTAGAATCTCGTGCGGATACGTGAGTCAGGACCTTCGGACTGCGTGCTGATGTCCACGGGGTCGCTGAAGGCGCCGCCGACCAGCTGTCCCGGCAGCCGGGCCTGCACGCGCACCTCGTACTCGCTGTTCGGCTCCAAGTTGTCCACCGTCGCCGTGTTGCTCTTACTATCAGTGCGACAGATTTTGGTAACAGTACATTTCAGCTACTAATGTTAACTGCAAGCTCTTCGACAAGGTTGAAGTCGTCGTGGCCCAAAGGATAAGACGTCCGGTGCATTCGTATATAACGATGCACCGGTGTTCGAATCCCGCATGCGGGTATCAATTTTACTAATGAAATACATACTTAACCAATGTTCACGATTGACTTCCATGAAGGAATAGCATCGTTTAATAAAAATCAAACCCGCAATATTATAATTTGCGTAATTACTGGTGGTAGGACCTCTTGTGAGTCCGCACGGGTATATACCACCGCCCTGTCTATTTCTGCCGTGAAGCAGTAATGCGTTTCGGTTTGAAGGGTGGGGCAGCCGTTGTAACTATACTTGAGACCTTAGAACTTATCTCAAGGTGGGTGGCGCATTTCCGTCGTAGATGTCTATGGGCTCCAGTAACCATTTAACACCAGGTGGGCCGTGAGCTCGTCCACCCATCGAAGCAATAAAAAAAGGTCCAGTGCAAAGTACACAAAGTAATTTTATTAAATGTTTCTGGTTGTAACGATGTGTTAACACTGGTAACACGGTGGGTGATGTCATAAATATTCACATAGAGATCTTAATTAAGTAAAATGACTTGTTTGTTTGTTCACGAAGCGTCGTTCATACGACTGAACCGAAGCAGCGTACCTACATTAGGCTTAGTGCGAGTTTTTTATCGCTCTCGATATCATAAAAGTTAACTCGAATTTTTATGGAGCTGGAACGTTTGCCTACATTTACCGCTAGGGGCGCTGTTTTTTATACTGCTGCTTAACTTTGACGCTATCGAGAACGTAAAAAAACTCGCACTAAGCACACTGTTATTGTCGACAATTGCGTGTGCCTTTTTGTAGGTGCGTAATACCAAACATTAATGGGCCTGACCTTTCGATGCAGTCCTCATTCCCTTCCATATCCTTGACACACACGAGAAACGTGTAAAGGTCCAAAGAGCTCTCAGCTTCGTCGCACCGCCACGTGACGATCATGTCGCGGGACCCGAGGGAGGTCACGCGGACGTTCGTCGGGACCGCGGTCACGTACCTGGCGATCACAAATTTTTTTTATTTTTTTTATTGCCTTTGTAGGCAGACGAGCATACGGCCCACCTGATGGTGAGTGGTTACCGTCGCCCATGGACTTCAGCAATGCCAAGGGCAGAGCCAAGCCGCTGCCTACCGCTTAATACTCTCCACAAGCCTCGTTTGAAGAAGGACATGTCATAGCGCTCGGGAAACACCGTGGAGGGGAGCTCATTCCATAGCCGGATGGTACGTGGCAAAAAAGACCTCTGGAAACGCACTGTGGATGACCGCAGTGGCTCCAGGTAGTATGGATGAACTCTACTCCGGTGGCGGGCGGTGCGATGGTAAAAACGAGATGCCGGTATCATCTCGAACAATTCCTCAGAGCACTCCCCATGGAACATACGGTACAAAATACAGAGGGAACCGAAGTCCCTCCGCAGACCCAGAGGCTCCAAACGATCCGTGAGAATGGGATTATCGACAATCCGAACGGCCCTCCTCTGTATGGAGTCAAATGGAAGAAGCTGGTATTTGGGAGCCCCGGCCCAGAGATGGGAGCAGTACTCCACGCGAGGCCGGACTTGTGCTTTATAAAGCAAAAGCCTTTGTCCAGGCGTGAAGTACCGCTTCGCTCTGTTGAGGACTCCCAGCATTTTGGACGCCAACTTGGCTTTGCCTTCCAAATGACTCCGAAACTGGACATCGCTCGAAATGTCGACCCCAAGTATCCCAATACTCTCGGAAGGTTGCAGGGATACTCCTTGGAATTGCGGCGCCATGACAAAGGGGTCCTTCTTCGCAGTGAACGCGCAAACTTGTGTCTTTAACGGGTTGAATTGAACCAAGTTCAATTCACCCCATTTGGAGACTCGCCCCAGAGAGTTCTCCACTTCAGACACAAGTTTTGATCGTCTCTCTTGCACCACGCTCCGAGAGAGACTCTGATGGCCGATATATCGCGCATCCCCCGTGCTGTCATCCGCATAGCAATGCATGCCATCAATAGACAGCATGTCATTGATATACAGGATGAAAAGCGTGGGGGAGAGCACCGAACCTTGTGGAACGCCAGCGTTAATGGTCATGGTATCAGAACAGTCACCGTCTACAACGACCGTGATGCTCCGCCCATCCAAAAAGCTAGCGATCCACTTGCAGAGACCCTCGGGGATTCCGTAAGATGGTAGCTTCGATAGAAGTGCCCTATGCCAGACCCTGTCGAAGGCCTTCGCGATATCAAGGCTCACAGCAAGAGCCTCGCCCTTGCTCTCCAAGGCTTCAGCCCACCTGTGAGTAAGGTATACAAGAAGATCGCCAGCTGAGCGACCGTGACGGAAACCGTACTGTCGGTCACTGATCAGCTGGCGATCCTCCAGATACTTCAGGAGTTGTATATTTATTATTCGCTCCATCACCTTGGAAAGCAAGGAAGTTAACGCGATAGGCCTATAACTCGATGGGTCCGACCGGTCACCCTTCTTGGGGATAGGGTGGACGTGGGCAGTCTTCCATGAAGACGGAACTCTGTTAGTGCAATAAGAGAGGCGATACAAACGCGTTAGCGCAGGCGTCAGCTCAGGGGCGCACGTTTTCAGAACCACTGCAGGGATGCCGTCTGGCCCGCTCGACTTATGGACGTCCAGGAGTCCAAGCTCCCGCCTGACTGCACACTGCGTGAAGCAGATCTCAGGCAGGGAGCTATTACACCGGGGGATGTACGGTGGTGTGGCACCCCCGTCATCCACGGTCGAGTTTGAGGCGAAGAGTTTGACCAGAAGGTCAGCCTTCTCTTTCGCACTATGGGCCAGACTGTCATCGGACTTGCGTAGTGATGGGAGACTAGACCTGCAGAAGTTACCTTCTGCAGCCTTAGCGAGCGACCAGAAAGCACGGCTCCCGGCGGGATAGCTCTTCAGTCGCTCGCCAATTCTGGCAACGTGCTCTGACTTCGCCTTAGCAATAGCCCTCTTATAGGACCTAGAAGCGGCGTTAAATTTCCGCCTTTCCTCTGAGGTATTAGGATCCCGACGTCTCCTGGCATCATTCCATGCCACGTATGCGGACCGCTTGAGGTGTGCAGCGTCCCGACTGGCATTGTTGTACCAGGGTCCACTGCGACCCCCGACGGGCACCTTGGAAGAAGGAATAAACAATTCCATCCCCCGAAGCACCACGTTTTTAAGTCGGTCCACACAGACGTCAGGATCACTAGAGGAAAAGCAGAGCCGCCCCCATGGGTAGGATGCGTAAAATTCACGCAATCCATCCCAATCTGCTGACATATACCGCCAAACTCTTCGATACCCGGTCGTCGTTCGACGACCAGGACGAGAGATTGGTATCTCAGCTCGGATAAGGCAGTGATCAGACGATCCAAGTGGAGCGTCGACCACCACACTGTATCCGGCCGGATCGGTGGTCAGCAGAAGGTCCAACAGAGAGGGCTCGTGCCCCTCAATATCTGGGACACGGGTGGGCTGTGTCACCAGCTGAGTGAGGCCGTAGGACAAGGCGAAATCGTAGGCAGCCCGACCCGGGAGGTTAGTGGTTCTGGACCCCAACCACTCTTGGTGGTGAGCGTTAAAGTCTCCAAGAACCACCACCTCCGCAGAAGGGTACTGCTCAAGCACGCGGTTAGTCTCCTCTTGCACATGCTCTATCAGAGCTGAACCTGCATCACTGCTGTGGGACCTGTACAAGCACGCATAGATTCGGGTACAACCCCCGTGATCTACGCGCAGCCACAAGAGGGACAGATCCCGTTGTTCGAGGCCACGAAGACGGCGACAGCAGACATCAGCCCGGACAAATACACATACCCCGGCTTTACGCAGGAAGTTGTGCTCCAATACGTAGCCGGGGTATTCAAGATACGAGGTATCATCCGGAGCAGATATCTGCGTCTCCGTTAGAAAAAGTAGGTCAGGCTGCGCCGTCTCAAGGTGGTGGTGTACGGCGTCAAGGTTACTATGTAGGCCCCTAACATTGCTGAAATCCACTTTAAATGTGGAATGGGGAGTCGCCGATAAAACCCTATTTCTTTTTCGTATTGTCATTAGTTTTAATATTGTTAGGAGAGTGGGATTAGGAGAGGTAGGACGTTCGAGGTGAAATCAAGGCAATACCTGAATAAAGCGCGGAACACAGTGTATGTTCAACCACGGGTTGCGTGAGAGACTGACGCAGGGCATGGAAGGGCCCCCAGTCCACCCTGCGTACGATCGCCGGGATCCACTCCGGTCTCCGACTCCGGCACGGCGACCGCAGGACAGGATTTTGCACCGGTTGGCGGGACAGCTTCCCAGGGCGGAGTTTAGTAGAGACACCTGGTTCAGGTCCCCTACTGACCGGCGGGCGGCGGCGAATACCGTTTCACTGGGTCTCCCTATACCCCCGTCAACCAGTCACGTCCCGCGAGCTCGCACACACTTCTATTCCGCATGTTCCAGGCATCACCAAGACTCACCCCCAACAAGGAAGGGGAAAGGGAAGGAATAGAACTGGCTCTCCAACCCACACGCCGGAACACAGCTAGGCTATTTGGCGGCGGACTCTAGTTGGAGGGTGGTCGCCAGCCAGTCGGACTACGTCCTACCACCGGTTTGACAAATGACAAACTTGAATATTTCGATTTTTTACAGAATCAATAGAGGCTTTGAAAATTTCTCTAAAATTATTCAACCAAACTGCTCAATGTTGTAGGCTGCTGTAGGCCCGCGGACCACATTGTAGACGAACTTTTGTGACCCGAGCCACTTCTACACTTTACAATTTAAATAAATAATAGTATAAAATATAGAAATAAAAAATAAAAACATGGTTTTGTAACTAGCTGAACTTAAAATAATTCTATTAAACATCAACAAGAAAAAAAAGATTAAGAAAAAAATATACTACGCGCGGACGGAGAGGTGAGCTCCTATCTAGTCCTAGCAAGAGCAGTGCTTCAAAGAGCAGTGCTTCACAAAACCTACCACCGGATCGGAATCGCGAAAGTATGATGCGTTATTTACATTATGCTTATAATCCCCCCCAGCAGGGACACCTTGCCATGCCCTACCATACTAGTAGGACCTTTTGAGTCCGCACGGGTAGGTACCACCACCCTGCCTATTTTTGCCGTGAAGCGGTTATGCGTTTCGGCTTGAAGGGTGGGACAGTATTTGTAACTATACTGAGACCTTAGAACTTATATCTCAAGGTGGCTGGCGCATTTACGTTGTAGCTGTCTATGGGCTCCAGTAACCCCTTAACACCAGGTGGGCTGTGAGCTCGTCCACCCATCTAACCAATAAATAAATAAAACGTTAATTATATTTTACATGAGATGTAACCACCAGCAGTTCCTTTCTACCCTTCCAAGGACATTAATTATGTAATGCAGATCTTACTTACCCATCTGGTACGCGGTCCAGATCCGCTCGTTGCCACGGCACATCCGACAAGTTCTCCGGTATCCCGAGGACCTTCCAGCCCAGCACACGGAGCTCAGTGCCCGGTAATGCTATGGTCAAACATATCGATTACTCACGCAGTGTGGTGCGGCGTCAGGTACTTGTTATTTACTCCCTTTGCTCGTTAGTGCTGGCTAATTTCCGAAATGGTTCAACAGTTCTAAACTTGACAGTTACTGGGGGGATTTTCGAAGAATTCTTGACGTTTTACCAAACTTTTCCATCGTTGAGAGGAAAGTGAAAAACGATGACAAATGGATAACTAATGAATAGTGCGTCCTATGAATAATACTGAAGTTGGATGTCATTGTGTTGAGACCGTGTCCACACAGTGTGAGGCGACACAAGAATGTAGTGTGGAGTAGTCTGGGTATCTGCTATTAAGCTGCATTTATTTACAGACACAGTGTCAAGCAGAAATCGATCGTAACCTTGAAAACTGTACTGATGCACTGAACCATCAAAAGTCACGTTCTGTATCTGGTTGTCGTCCTCGGTCCTGTACTGCAGAGTCCACTGCAGCACGCCGGGATGCTCCTCCGCAAACTGGTGCCAGGATACCACGACCCTCTCGTCGTTCACTCGCGTTATCTTGATCGGCACTGAGGGAGGGCAGTTCAAATATTGACCGAACTAAGATTAGGGGATTAAGAGAAGTCAAACATTACAAGATATCTTCATACTGATGTCGCAAATTAAACTAGATTAATCTTTCTGGTTTTCACGTCTTTCTATCTGTTAACGTTTCTTTTATTCTGATAGTAACTACAAAACAAATCTTGTGTTTATCGATAGTGTTTGTGCTGTCGTGACGTAGCGGTTCGCCCTGTTGAGGACTTGAACACCTTAGAACAGAAACCAACTTAGTTTTCTTTCCAAACGACTCTGATACTGAACACCGCACGAAACATTATTACACCAATTTCAAATTCCTCTGGACCAGTTAATAATGATTATAAAATAATTATGCTTACCTCCCTGCCCCTGACAGGTGACAGTTTCTGAGGGATCGCTCGCTATGGTCTTATTGTTTTTGGTCAGGATATAAGCCGTCACCTGCACGAAAAATATTAACAAATTACATTTTTTTTCCTTGGAAAAACGTAAAGTGGAGTATTGTCTTTTCACTACTTTATTTTACCTAAAAATTCGGCGGCTACAAGGTCTACGGCAAAAACGGTGCGTTCGTGATACAACAGCCATTTCCCTACTGACGACAAGCACAGTGTGAGCGGCTTAAACCCGTATATACACCCGTATGTTTTCCCATTCATTCTCACACACACTTCTCCAATCTGCTTGTTTATATTATACTATGCTACCTAACTTTGATACTAAGATACTGTTTCAAGCCCTGGGTATCACATACTATACTATAACTGCCTGCTCGTCTCTCGCTGCAAACTATTCAAACATAATTTTACGCATACGGAATATAGTCACGACTAAAAGATTGATTCCAGTCAAAAACCAGCAAGATTCGTTAACACACCAGACCTATGGATCGAGACATGCGATCCTTATCTATATACACTAGTTGACCCGGCAGACTTCGTAGTGCCTCAATCGATAAATAAAAGATCTAAACTTTTGTATAAAATAAACTTAAAACAAACAAAAAAATCCGTCTGACGGGGGACACATCAATGGAAAAATAAAATTGTTATTTTTATTTAATTCCGAGATTTTCATATTTATCTACCTTTTAAACCTTCTCGGGACTTTCACAAATAATTCAAAACCAAAATTAGCCAAATCGGTCCAGCCGTTTTCGAGTTTTAACGAGGCTAACGAACAGCAATTCATTTTTATATAATAACGAGAATTTTATATATTGTAGATATATAGATAAAGGAAGTAATGTTGTTTACCTGAAATTTGTAAGGAGTCAATGGTTCATTTACGGTGATGATTTCTTCGTTGGTAGTTCGCGGCACTCCAGGGTACATGGTACCTTCTGTGGAATATAAGAACTATCTAGATCAAACTGTCTTCATCTAAAACATGACAATTATGTGTTTAAAAGAAAATAATTTACGGTAAAATGCTGCTTGAGACCTCAAACTACCTCCTCTACGCAATATTAATAGCATAGTTTTATTTAGAAGCTTTACTTCTGTACGATTCATCTCTTAATTTACAAAGCCTCATGCGGCGTGTCGTACAAGTGTAAATGAAATCGAGCAACAAATAGTGCCGATAAATGAATGTATTATTTAAAAGAGATGTTTCAGTAAGTAGGTATTCTCGCGTTTCCGATCCGGCCATAGATTCAGCGAAGCACTGCCCTTGCTAGGGCCAGTGTTAGCAACACTCTCGGTTTGAGCCCCGTGAACTGATCTATCTACATGTCAAGGAAATATCCTCTGAAGGCTATCCGCATAGGTAGGAATAAAAAAAAGAGTGTTCTCACGCGACACGCTCCGCTGCACGGTGTAGGCCACAACGTCGGCGTCCATCAGGTCCCAGTACACGCGCACCCGCGCGGGCCCCGCCGCCGCACACCGCACCCCGCGCGGCGCCTCCGCCCCCGCGCCCGCCACCTCCAGCCGCGCCCACGCGCCGCGCTCCTGCAGCGCGTTCCTAGCGAAGCACTGGTACACTCCTGGGTATTGCAAAGCTTTTATTAGCTTCAGACGTATGTATGTTAGTATGTAACGGAATCTTTGAACATGATTTTGACCCCCTTCAAAATGTATACTTACTAAGGACTGATGAGAATTCAACATTTAAAAAAAAAAAAAACTAGAAGGTCGCGCTCGTCTGAACGATCGCCGTCTTGTCTCATTCCTCTGACTACACTGAGCAAAGCCACTCCATAAATAATATATATAAAAGTACAATACGGCTATCAACTCACCAGCATCATCAGATGTAACACTCCTAATGAGTAGCTCTCGACGATTCCCTTCAAACGAAGTCAGTACAACTTTCTAGAAAAATAAAGTTCACAATAAATGCTTGTCCTGAGTTACAAGTCAAACGCATTACGTTCAAATATTTTCGTAATCGTCTTCTTAGCTAACGCACACTAAGAAGATAACAAATTATGGGTTTTCATATATGAATGCAAATACCCGACTCGGAACATGAGACACACATTAATAAAACGGGTGCCCTACTTGTAAAAGTGGATGGGCAGTACTGGTCTACAATGAAACTGAAATAGCGTACCCTGCCGGCCAGAACCAGAGGCTTCCCGTCCTTGTACCAGGTGATGATCGGGGCCGGTTTCCCGGTGGCGGTGCAGTTGAATCTCACCGTGCTGGCCCGGTACACCTGCTTTGAAGCCGGAGGCAACGTGATGTTCACTGGCTCCGTAATCGTAACATTGTAGGTCTGGAAAAATAGGATTTGTTAAGTTTTTTTTTGTTGTTTCAAACAACATTAAGTTAGGACTAATTAATTACTTGTAACAATATCTCTAGGTCATCCGCTCCAGTTTTTGCGGCATAGCAAGCATTGTCAAGAATTCTGGACAATCTCACGGCCTACTTGGTGTTAAAAGGTCACCGGTGCCCATAGACATTAACAACGTTAATGCCGCCACCCAATTTGAGACAAGAGTTCTTAGGTCCCAATTTTTACTGTACAACCGCTGCTTCTGCTTCACGGCAGAAATAGCCAGGCCCTACTACCAGTAATTGCGCAAATTACATTTGCAAGTTGAATTTTTTAACCTAATATTGTTCGTTCACCGTGAAAGTCATTAGTTAACATTTATTAAGTAGGTACGTATTTCGTTATAAAAATTGGACAGTTAATAAGCCACCGTCACTATACTTTTAAATCTACAGACGCACTAAGACACACTAAATTAATGAAATAAAACAATTCGCACAACTTTGCTCCTTGCGTTCCCCAAAAATTAACCACAGACTTATTAGCTTATGATCCACGTACAACTGTTCTCATAAATAACAGAAAATACTGACAAATATCAGCCATTCAGGTGGGCTTTGGATCAAATCACGCCGCAACTGACCGCACACATACCATCAGTCAGATAGAACATGAGTTCAACAAGCTCTTTACAACATTTGTGGATTGCTCCAAAACATTCGACTGTACAGCATACTCGTTGATATGGAATAATTATGTATGAAGTAGGTACTTCAATAAGCTCTTAAAGAACATAATACATTAAAAAATGTTTGTCGCGCTAAACTAAAGACCAGCAAACGATTTCAACATTGAGAAGAAAATCGGGACCGCTCTCTTTCTAAAAATATTTATGGCTGTTTTAGTAAATTAAAATATATAATGTAATTAAATGTATATATCATGCATTTCTTCGGTATAACAACGTATTTATGTAGGTATTACGTTTTTTACTATTAAATGGTTATCCACATCCACGACATCAGCAACTCTTAGGGCATCGACAGGCCACTGCTTACCGTAAATCACTACATTATCTATATATTAATACGTGAAGCAAAAACTTTGTATCCCTTTTTACGAAAATTGCGCGGACGGAGGAGTATGAAATTTTCCATTCTTATACAGAATATAGAGAAGAAGTGCACAATGCTAATTTTTTTTTAATATAATGCATAAAATATACATTAAATCAATAAAGAAAACATGACACACACTACATGCCATGTATTTGACGCACACACGCATGCATACTATTTATTGTCAAACTTTTGTTCTTGACGTCTGTGGTCAAATTGAGAATAGATTAAATATTGTTTGTCTTTATTAATATTTTTTTATAGTGTAGCCTTGGCGAAATTTGTGATTATAAAAGTATAAATTACAATCATAATAGTGTACAAACTTACAATTTGAATTAATTATAGTCGAATTTCGACTAATGCGGGACCTCTAGTGTCTGTAAATGTTCATACCTCATGAATCGAGACAGTGTTCATGTGAAGACAATGTGCTACTCGCTGATTGAATGCGTTAACCACGCCGCGCCACATTGTTCCGACACAAAGCAATTTTGCGGTTTGCGCGGTTGGATAATAGCCGTTATTATTATTGTACAATACAATTGAGATTCTGATGTCTCAAAATGGCCAGTGGTCTATTTTGTTCTGTCTCTGGGTCGAGTACCCGGTTGACATCAGCTTGGTTTGCTTCATCATAGATTAATGTAGACGGACTAGTTAATTTATCATTATTTATGGAAATATATATATATATATTTACGGCATATATATCAAAAATCCGCATAGCAAATAACATCCGCTGGCATAAATGATTCGTGATAGTAAGTGTTAATTAATCCATAGCCCTTTCAAAAGTTCGTATAGTATAAGGTCAAAGGGTACGACTAGTTAGTTCTATGTAAATATGGGCACGACCTCATTCGCTTTAATTAACAAAATACTAATTATGCTTCACGCTCTGCGCTGCGGTATAAAGTAAGAGATTTGTCGGTTTGTATGCCATAAGGTATCTTACTTTTATGTGCCTCTCTCTGGGTGCACATCATCAGCACAACCACGACCACTTGATGAGAGTATCCGACTAAGAAGAAGACGAAGATATTAGTTCAGTGTTTACGCTGGTTTGAAGAGAGGGCTCGCCGTTAAACAATACATTTGAGACTTCGTCACCAGTATAAATATGGCTGGTGACATTTGAGGGATGCCTAAGGGTTTCGGTTACCACTTAAAAGCAGTTGAAGCATGAGCTGGTTCAATAATCTATGCAACATAAAAAAATAAAAAGTTGGCGACCAAGCACCCAGGTTATAGTTAACTTATTAGATCGTGACGGGGCAACGCAAAGCCGCCGTTGTCCGAAACCTGTCTTGTCGGGTCCCCCGGATTCACTGTCGGTGCTTTTAGGACCCTCAACAACCGGTCATCGTCAAGAGTCCGACGCGCGAACTAACCAATAAACACAGCCCACTGAGTTTCTCACCGGATCTTCTCAGTGGGTCGTGTATCCGATCCGGTGGTAGATTCTGCGAAGCACTGCTCTTGCTAGGGCTAGTGTTATCAAATTCTCTCACGTTGAGCCCGTGAACTCACCTACCCGTTCGCACGCAGCCGGAATAGCCTCTTAGGCTACCAGCGAAGAGGAATGGGAAAAAAATTATGTTTATGAAAAGCTTATGGTCATTTTATTACTACGAGTAGTCTTTCAAGTTGAAGAGGCTGAAAATTTTGTATTTTTCACGAATTATATTAGTGCCCATAGAATGTATAAGACATTCTCAATTGTTCCGTTGTCCAGCATTCATAGCTCGCCGCAGGCTTGGGACTGTGTACCGCTGATATTGTGCAAGTCATGTCCCGTGATCACGACCAGCTAGCAACAGCATAGATGCAATCACACTATTTCTATAGTCGTCGTGGCCTAAAGAATAAGACGTCCGGTGCATTCGTATCTAGCGATGCACGGGTGTTCGAATCCCGCAGGCGGGTACCAATTTTTGTCCTGAAATACATACTTATCAAATTTTCACGATTGACTTCCATGATGAAAGAATACATCGTGTAATAAAAATGAAACCCCCAAAATTATAATTCGTGTAATTACTGGTGGTAGGACCTCTAGTGAGTTCGCGCAGGTAGGCACCACCACCCTGGCTATTTCTGCCGTGAAGCAGTAATGCGTTTCGGTTTAATGGGCGGGGCAGCCGTTACAACTATACTGAGAATTTAGAACTTATATCTCAAGATGGATAGCGCAATTTACGTTGTAGATGTCTACGGGCTCCAGTAACCACTTAACACCAGGTGGGCTGTGAGATCGTCCACCTATACAAAAAAAAAACTTTAGGACACTGATCAATAACGTGACATGGCTTAATCTCTCAGACTCTCACCAAAATGTAATAAATAAGACGCTAACTTCTATAGCTTGCGTCGTTTAAGCACAGAATTACGATTATGCTAAGCATATTAAGTTATAAAGACGCACAATTACTAGTTTAATAATATTCTACTATCAATTTTGCACTAAATCACCACAAGCCGTTCAATATGTCTTCTCTATTTCAATATATCTTCAGCAAAACCATTGGTTATGGAAATAAGCACTGTAAGCACACCCTTTATACTACATAGAAATGGACCAATCTAACAACGTCCTAACCTACTACCGCACCCGGTCTGTTTACACTCAATCTGCGATCTGTGATCAGAGGTCACATGGTACAAAGTGCTCCATAGGCAACGCAAGATAAATGCCACCACCACCCACATCGAAACACAAAGACTACGGCTCTATTCAACCGAAACATGTGACTGATTTTCTAAAATCTGGAAGATTATTTCCGAATAATGTTGGCCACATTGGTACCGGCCTGCGGGATTTGAACACCGGTATTGACGTATCGCTCTATAAGAGTACATCAGACCTCTTTTCCTTTAAGCTACAATGGTCCATGTGTTCTGATCAATATCAATTATTCTAAGTAGAACAATAAGATCACTGTTTTTCACAACCAAGTCAAACGAGTGTATATGAGGGTAGCTGAATTCCCATTTCAACCAAACATTTATATATTCTTTTCAAACTCGACGCGAGCAGCTCCTTGCAATACTCGTTTAATATACGCGCCTTACCTTAACCAAATCATTATTCCCGTCCACTGAGCACGAGAAGACTCCCTCTAGATCCGCCTGCATGCTCGGCAGTACCAACACCTGGTCTATAGTCTCTTGCTCAGCGGTTCTTCCGATCGATGGAGTCAGCTTCCATACAATCTGTAACATTCCAAGCGTTCTTTCAATATGGTTAAGGACATCATTATCCGTCAACCATGGACCTGGATAACTCCAATCCAGATACGAGAACGGAGGTAACCGAAAAAATCATGAAGCCAGCATAATTTTTTTTAATTCTTTTTTTTACTTTGTTGGGTGACCGAGCTCAAGGCTCAGCTGGTGTTAATTGGTTACCTGAGCACATAGACATCCACTACGTAAATGCGCCACCAATCTTGAGATATAAGTTCTAAGGTCTCAAGTATAGTTACAACGGCTGCCCCCACCCTTCAAACCGAAACGCATTACTTCTTCACGGCAGAAATAGGCAGGGCGGTAGTACCTACCCGTGTGGACTTACAAGAGGTCCTACCACCAGTAAATAAGTCGTCGTGGTCTAAAGGATAAGACGTCCGGTGCATTCGTATGTAGCGATGCACCGGTGTTCGAGTCTCGCCCGCAGGTACCATTTTTTCCAACGAAATACGTACTTAACAAATATTCACGATTGACTTCCACGGTGAAGGAATAGAATCGTGTAAAAAAATCAAACCCGCATAATTTTTTTTTTTTTTATTAAAAGTTTTAATTTAACTTAACCAGGTTGATTACAACCAGATGCAATTTTAGACAATTGGAACAAATTCGCTGAACAGAGAAGACCAAAGTTTATTTACGAAAATTTAAAATTTCAAGATCCCGCCAACCTTGAATTTTTCGTAAAAGACTTGAAGAATGAGTTGAAATTTCATTGTACACGAATCCGTGGTATGTTCTAGTGATTGTTCCATTACAACTGTTCAGTCTTTTGCTATTAAACGATTGATCTGCTATTGGAAAATCAGAAAAAAAAAACAGTTATTTATTCATATCATATACTTTGAACATACCTCGGGCTTGGGCCAGCCCACTACTGGACATGGGAGTACAACTCTGCTCCCCTTCGAGACGTAGATAGTGGTGTCTTGCTGCAGAGGAAGAAAGGCCAGCCCCGTCTGACCTTCCTCCCTCTCCACCTGTACCAAAGCAGGACTACTGTTTCTACTCTTGTTTAGCACTGGGTTGGTTGCTTTACACCTGGTCCGAAAAAGAGTACCTTCAGAACTGTCACTGTAACAGGTTACTTGTAACACATTAATTTAATAATTTTTTGTCCTTTTAGGTAGACGAGCATACGGTCCACCTGATGGTGAGTGGTTACCGTCGCCCATGGACTTCAGCAATGCCAAGGGCAGAGCCAAGCCGCTGCCTACCGCTTAATACTCTCCACAAGCCTCTTTTGAAGAAGGACATGTCATAGCGCTCGGGAAACACCCTGGAGAGGAGCTCATTCCATAGCCGGATGGTGCGTGGCAAAAAAGACCTCTGGAAACGCACTGTCGATGAACGCAGCGATTTCAGGTAATATGGATGAACTCTGCTCCGATAGCGGGAGGTGCGATGATAAAAAGGAGATGAAGGTATCATCTCAAGCAATTCGTCAGAGCATTCCCCATGGAATATACGGTACAGAAAACAGAGGGAACCGAAGTCCCTCCGCAGACCCAGAGGTTCCAAACGGTTGATGGTTTAAAAGTAGGCAGTGCCTCTGGTCTTTAGCGCCAGCCAGCATTCACCAGCAGGTCGATTGAATTCTCGTCTCTGTTTGAGTTATTGTGTACAAAAGTGAACAAACAAGCCCGTAGACACCTAGGTCATAAAGTATTATAATCTATCCGTGCGTTTATCTTGATTTTTTTTTGTTTGTTAACTCGTATTTACTATTTATTGTCCTTCTTTATTCTGCATATTAACTGACTCAATTTGAATATTTTGAAACTTTTTCTTAGCGATTCATTAATACAAAATTTTTTGTTGTGTAAATTGAATATGTCTTACTGAGAAACTATTGTATTGTAAACTCTTACCAATATACGCCTGCATCTTGTTCCTTCGCGTTCAGTATTAGTAGTTGATGCTTATTGTCGATGTAATAATATCTAAACAATAGAAAATTCTGTATCAAACTCATCATCAGAATATCGATCCACTGCTCACATCAAGCACTAGCCTTGGCTCAAGGATTTCAGCGGATAATTTTGAAGTCTATACCTGAATATTTGTGGGTTTGCGGGCTTGTTCATTGCATACGTTTATACGTTATGTGACCGAATACAAAGTTGGTATTTTACTGTCATTGTTAGTTCTAAGGGTTTAGGCGTATAGTTCGTGATATAGCTACAAGGAATGCCTAACATTCACATAAAAGTCGAAGTATGTACATATGTATGAATTCACGCCTATATGTATGCTCCCTAGAGTCCGAAACGGCTGGATCTATTTAGATCAAACTTGAGGAATTTCATAGGATCAGCCAAATCAAAGGTTTAAAGAAAGCAATTTAGTTATTCATTATACAATGTTTAATATTGATAAAACGTATTTTTTTTGTTTAACAGTTTGGTCAATTGCTATTTTTACCTGTCGTTCTCTGATATGACTTCCTCTCCTTTCAGCCACGTGATACTGGCAGACGGACCCGAGCTGATGTTGCACGTGAGCACAAACGGCTGCCCGGCGCGCACGGTGCTGTTCTCAGGAACCACAGAGACGTACTTTTCGATGACTGGAACAAGGAAACAGTATAGACCTATCCGTTAGTACAGCGGGCCCGCGGTCAGCCCGCTCGAGTTCATTGGTTGATCAATTTTAGACATTCGCGCATACTGCTGATAGTATTTTGTACTTAGTTAACAGGCGCTCGACACTGTCGCTTCACGTGTGGTCATTGAACTGAAAACTGGCACTTGCTTAGCGTTTATTATAGCGCGAAGTCCAGCCCTCGGCCAGTTTACTAGTGTCCGTGTAAACCGCAGCGTAAATGCCGCCCCCGCCCAGAGATATAACTTCAAAGTTTCAATTGTCAAAAAAAGCATTTGTATTATTAATGGCTACTGCTCCGGTAGCTCATACCAGTTTCGCGTGAAACCTGTAAGTTGTATTTGTAGTTGTAGATCGACACAATCGTTTGATGCACATAAAACGTGCATCTCACTCACTAGACGACGATGCCCTAAGGTCATATGACTTCCATGGATGAGTCAGTTTAGATTTTCATCACCAGATACGTGAAACTAACTTTTAGTTCTTTCAGACTCTTCCAACAGTCTTATGAACTCATGCTTCTTCAATTCTTATGAAGATTTCTAGCCGTAAAGCGTGTTATGGTCTCAATGAGAAGGTTCCAGCGTCCTGCCTCATTAGAATAGTACTAATACGGGTAAATTAGAGGTCATAGCAGTGGTACATCTAGTATGGCTGCAACCATGCCCGCAAACCAGTGTTTCTATTGTTTTGAAACCTTTTACTAATCAAAGGGGACATTGCACGAAAACATTGTTCAAAATATGGTAAGCTGTTGATTTTGACTCATAATTGGTTAGTTAGGGCCGTTCGGATTGTCGATAATCCCGGTCTCACGGATCGTTTGGAACCTCTGGGTCTGCGGAGGGACTTCGGTTCCCTCTGTATTTTGTACCGTATGTTCCATGGGGAGTGCTCTGAGGAATTGTTCGAGATGATACCGGCATCTCGTTTTTACCATCGCACCGCCCGCCACCGGAGTAGAGTTCATCCATACTACCNAGCCATTCATTCTCTCGCCGGGTGTCAGAGCTTAGAATTGGGTATGAGAGGGAAAGAAGATGAAAATAAAACCAAATAAAACAAAATAAAACCACAGGCGAAGAAGAATAGAAAAGCGTGTAAAATAAAACAATGAACGGAAACAAAAGAAGAGAAAGAGACAGGGTAAAACTTAAGATCAATAAAAATAACCAAGGGACAGTAAAAACAAAACAATAAAGTAACAAAGAAAAGGGAAAAAAAAAAAAAAAAAAAAAAAAAAAAGTTATAATACTACCTAATGAAATATTATTTTATATTATACAATCACAAAATAAATAAATAAATTCAAATACGGAGACCCTGCTAAAAATCAGGGAAATATGAGGCTTCCGAAAACCTGTTTTCGTATATTAATGAATAACAAAGACAACGTGTAGTATATATGAAATAAATTAGTTTGCGAGATGTTTGAACGTAATCAGGAGTTACTGGGGGAATATCACTTCTAATAGAAAGACATCTGTTCAGTGCCCACAAGATACGACAGAGTACAGCTTCCGGCCTTTATTTGCCACCATGCTTGGATAGGGTTTATGGATGATACTCCTTTAAAACCGATGCAAATCAATGTTTTACTTAAGAATTTGCCCGGACGCCAGTACCAGCGTGGGCTCTAAGAAATATAACTTTCAGAGGCATACAATGTAGTAGTTTTTTTTTTATTAAAACAAAATATTCACGAGCTCAAGACACAAACATTCTCACGTGTCATCAAGTCTGAAGACACTGTTACGTGCCCAAAGTTCTTCGTTAACTGATGCTGTATCTGGTTGTATTTATTAATTGATAATACCCCCTATCTTTCATTCCTGGTGACGCACCACTGAAAATACAAAAAGTTCCACAAACGAGGATAACGCGTGTTTAGGGATGAGAAGGGAAAAACTTACACATTCGTGCTTTACTCTCTTTTAATATAACAGAACTGGGGGGCGGGGGTGGAAGCGGCGGCGCGGGGAGGGCGGAAAATTTCTTAGCGACCTTGTTTGCTATTTATTGCTATAGCTAAAGTAAAAAAATGGCTTCAATATGTTTCTTTTTCTCTGTGTACTCGAGCGTGTTTTCCTATACGCAAACATCTATCATCTATGTAGCTCGCATCTATACTAGGTAAGGCGATTGTTTTTCGATTATTTCTCTAGGTGGGTAGCTGTCATAGCATATAAGGAATACGACAAAAACCTTTATCGGGCTGACGACATTTTCAAAATACGGTCGCACACACACAATTGGAAACAAGAGCATGCGGACCGTGGGTCTACGGAGCAAGGGCCGCTCGGTGAAGACCTTTGTTGCTAGAGACAATACCATAATTTTTATTTTTATGCAGATATCCAGAAAAACCTATAGACATCTACAATAACAAATTAAATCGAAGCCAGCAGGCTCATAATAGCTTCATCAGTTATGAACCAATGTTTGCGGGCTAATTTCTAATATTATTAATAAATAAAATTATGTTGAATTAGAATACTATGGGTGTATGCCTGCTACGCAATTCTGGCATGACAACAATCACAGTCAGAGTCCATCCTCACTACTTACACTACTACGATTACGCTGCTTTTCCAACAGATATACTATTATTACCCATACAGTATACCTATGCGATGCCAATCCGGTGGTAGATTCAGCGAAGCACTGCTCTTAATGGGTCAAGTGTTAGCAAACTCTCGCAAGATGCGCCCATGAGCTCACCTATCGGCCCGCGAGAAAGACTGTGAGCATGTTTCAGTATTTGCAGAAAATAACCAGCAAAGATTATGATCACTCGACAGGTTACTGCGCAGTCAATAAACAGACGGGGCTTAAGATACATATTATCTGTACAACGAGCCATCAGTACTAGTTAAAAAGGTCCATTTTACTAAGAAAACCTCATTTCCGCTTCCGGTATTTTCGTCATTAAGTTCAAGGGACCACCAACGAAACGCAAAATGATCTCACTAATGAGGTGAAAGCTTTACGCAAATATTTCCACACCACAGAAAAGACAGCCTTTTATACTAAGCCTAAAGCGAAAACAACGTTTTACTTCTTGCGCCAAAAGTTGCTACGATTTTTTTTCTCAGTATCCCAATTAAGGGAATAAGGAAATTGTGCTCTTGTTTAGGTACATTAATTGATCACCGCACCCCACTACAGCTGCAAAGTACCTCTCTACTTACTGGAACCACATAGTTCTGCTAGCATATTATTTTCTGAGAAATTACCGGGGCTCTGGAATGAACTCCTTTCTTGGTACTTCTCCTTCGCCAAGCCGAGTCCTGGAAATATTTGCTGAGCGATTGTGGTGAACGCGTATTTTTTTTTTGTTTCTACCGAAGCTGATAGCCTTGAGAGGGTATTTCAGCGTAACCTTAACTAGTAGGTGAGCTCACGGAGCTCAAACCGGAGTGTTGCTAACACTGACCCTAGCAAGAGCAGTGCTTCGCAGAATCTACCACCGGATCGAAAGCGCGACCCACTGAGAAGATCCGGCGAGAAACTCAGTGGGCTGTGTCTATGGGTTAATTCGCTCGTCAAGCCCTAAAATTGAACAAATGCTCATAACATTAAAATTACTGTTTTTAAAATTTATTATTTATGCGATTCGTAAACCCGTTCGTGAAATTATGGCGCCGAAACCTTTTGATGTAATTATATTTTTCTAGAATTTTGTCGAATTTTGTGTTAATACTTTCACAAATTCAAATCAATTAATTTCAATATAATTGTTTTCAAGTCATCTTAGGTTCGCAGACGACCTAGCACTTCTGTCAGAGACGGCCGGCCAGATGCAACACATGATAGAGACTCTACACCAAGCCAGTATCAAGGTGGGGCTCGAGATGAACCTTACTAAAACCAAGATAATGACCAACAACAGATGGAAAAATCCTATAATAATAAATGGAGAGCCACTAGAATATGTCGAGAAATACATATACTTGGGAAAGTTGCTAAGTTTTGCCAAAAACAGCGACATTCTAGAAATGGAAAGAAGGGTTCAATCGACATGGAATAAATTTTGGAACCTTAAGAAAATTTTCAAAAGTAATATGCCCACAGACATCAAAACAAAAGTTATGAACTCAAGTCTCTTATTACCATGCCTGACGTATGGGTGCCAGACGTGGAAGTTCTCCTCTAAAGCCACAAATAAAATCAGGTCCTGTCAAAGGGGGATCGATAGGAGTATGCTCAAAATAAGGAAGATGGATAAGGTAAGACATACTAAGATAAGAAAAACCACTAACGCGACCGACGCCCTAACTTATGCACTAAAACTAAAATGGGAATGGGCTGGCCATGTCGCGACATATACAGACCAGAGATGGACTGCGAAAGTTACATCTTGGAGCGGCCCAACGGGCAAGAGAAGTCGAGGGAGACCACTAACCAGATGGGAAGACGATCTTAGACGAACAGCTGGCCCAAGCTGGATAGACGTAGCACAGGATAGAGATGCTTGGGCATCTTTGGAGGAGGCCTTTACCCAATCCGGGGTTCTTGCTAACTACAAAACTCTCTTTTACATCCTAAATACTAATACATACATTTATATTTATTATTTTTTTAAACTTTGTAAAAGCAAGAAATAAATGGCTTATTATTATTATAATTGTTTTAAACCCCCTTCTTAAATTTTATGACAACAACTCCAAAACCGAATCTACAGGGAAATAACCAAGGTAGGAGATTTCTTATTATCACCTGGGACTTAGCAAATTATGATTATTTTTAACTTATGAATCATTAACATAATAAAATGAATTAGTCTGGAGAACAGACCTTATTTTCACCGATTTCAATCCATCTTCATCAATCCAAAATCATCAAATTACTCGCTGATTATAAAGGGTATATCAGCGCCGATTTTAAGCTTTGAATATTAATAAAAAAATGAAGATTGTGTTTATAATATTTTAACTTCAGGAAACGGATTTTATTTACGGAATATAACACCGTCAAGATGTCTTCCATCACGGCGAATGCACTCTTCAAAGCGGACTATCGAATTTTCAAAGACGCGGCGCAGAACCTGAAATGCCCCTCACTTCTGTCGCTATTTTCGTCTTCAGATCCCCCAAATTTGTTATAGGGTTATCATAAACCCTTGCTTTGATATATACCCCATAAGAAAAGTCAGCTGGGGTTAAATCGGACGATCTAGGTGGCCACGATATGTCTCCAAAGCGACTTATGATTTTACCCGGAAACAACGCTCTTAGTGGGTCCATGGTGACCCTAGCTGTGTGGGCTGTGGCCCCATTTTCTTTTTATTTATTTTTTATTGCTTAGGTGGGTGGACAAGCTCACAGCCCACCTGGTGTTAAGTGGTTACTGGAGCCCATAGACATCCACAACGTAAATGCGCCACCCACCTTGAGATATAAGTTCTAAGGTCTCAGGTATAGTTACAACGGCTGCCCTACCCTTCAAACAGAAACGCATTACTGCTTCACGGCAGAAATAGGCAGGATGGTGATACCCACCCACGCGGACTCACAAGAGATCCTACCACCATCTTGCTCAAGCCATACACCTGACTCGTCAACATCCTCTCTTTCAGCTGGGGTACAAAAAAGTATCAATGATGTCGATATAGCATTCGCTCGTGACTGTAACCGATACATCTCGGTCATTCTCGAAGAAAAATTGCTCGATGATATTTTCCGACGATATTGCGCACCATACATTAACTTTGGGGCTGTTTTTATGAGCGCCAGACCACTGCGACATGGCGAATAAAAAATCCGCACTAATCACCTCTCGAACGCTACCGCTCCGCTCCCGCTAGCCCCGCTGGTTGCCGAGATATTTATGTTTAAAGTTTAAAATTGGCGCTGAGACACCCTTTATTAAAGTGACGTTAATCAATATAATGCGATAATAATAATAAAGCGATTTCTTAGATATTAAATCAGACAAAATCCCGATAGTGAAGAAAACAATTCAAATGGCATGTTGGCTTCGCATCCGTGCAGGATCACAACACGAACTAGCATCCGTACTAACAGAGGAAGGGATGAAGATAGAATTTAGTACGAATGAAATGGAAAGCTACTAATACTGAGCTATCGCCTAGCATCGAGTAGACCTTGAGCTAGGCCAGCTAGCCTAGCCGCGGAAGTTTAAATCAAAGTGCCCAGAGACAAATATGTGCATTCGAAGTTATATAAAAGTTTAACTCGTCAAAGTTGATGGATGTATCAAAGGATACACAAAGGGAAGTGATTCGTGAATCTTGGCTCCATGTCAAAATATTTTTCTCCAACATAAATCAACATTAGAGGCAAGGCCTTCCTTAGAAAAGCTCCAGTATTTTTCTAATAAAAAAGCAGATGGGTTGAGACAACGCCGCGCCGTTGCGGATTCCTAATTAATAATAAAAACAATATTATGTTTTGTTTAAGCAATTTTTAAGGTTCATAAAACTTAATGTAAATGATCCACAGAACCAAATGTAAATATTATTTTAGGGCTGTTTCACGAAAGGTCAAAATATTCCAGATATAAGTTACGACCTTTAAGGTATTTAAACCTCTCTACCTCTCCTATATCCAATATAATTGTTTTTCATTACTGGATGCGTGCAACAAAACACTTCAGTCAGTTGCAGAATCGGCGTGATTTGTTTCATTATTTCTTTTGTGTTCACCAACAAACGCTTTGTGATTATGAACTTATTTTTAGTAATGGTCTAAAAGTTTTATAAACTGGGTTATATAATTACGGTAAACCAACACTGTATACAATAACTAAGAAAAAAACTAAAATTCCTATTTCATATTAAAAACGTATCATTATATTTAAAACATTACATATACTAATGTAGGGAGTTTTATCATAATTAAATCGTTTCTCGCTACAATAACGTGCTAGATATATAGCATCGAAGATTCAACAAGTGAACCACGTATCTTTACAGAAACGCGCAATGACCATAGTCATTGAGTTGTCGCTTACGAATAGATTTCATTGTATTTAGATTACATCCGTATATCGACACTTGTCCCGTTGTCAGATTTAAAAAGAAAAATATTTAACCGAAAACTAAACGTAATTGTTATTTATTTTTACGTGATATTTTTGGATAGCCTCGCACAGAAAAATCTAAATTATCACCAAGACACATTGATAGATTACACAGCATTGTCGGTCCAAACGACATCTCTGGACATACAGAAACATCTGAGTTAGATAAACAACAATTATCGTTTGTTTATCTGTTGCTGAGTAAAGCTTTCATCCACTGAGTACATCCTCAACAAAAAACAAGCCAAGAGAATACATTTTCACGAAAACACATCACAATTTGAATAGAACGTCGCAAATGGAAATCATTTTACTAGCGAATAAGGTTTATTGATATTCTGAATACAAGATATCCCAGATCAACGCGGCCTAAATAAAACAAGACAATCTTATTGAGCAGTTACCTTGCGTGCGTATGTGTGTCACCTATGTGTCTATTGAACCGAGTCTAGGTTCAATACTGGACGTTTACCAAAGCAGACATGATTGCAGTTGTATTCTGAACTATATATGAGGCCATCAGTGCAAGAGTGGTCTAAGCTTACCACAGTTAGTATGGAGATCATGAGGTTCGAATTTACCTTTACAATACTTCGTAGGCAAAAAATACACGCTAAAATAAAGTTTGCAATGTCATCCGTTATCTATGGATGAAACTAGGGATAGGTCGATTTTGCATCAAAATTTATTATGTTTTAAATAATTTCCAATACATAAGCACGAATATGAATTATAAGGTTAGGCCACTTTTGCGCTGACGGCCTCATATATTCTGGACATAGTGTACATAAAATAACCACAACCTAACAATAAAATCGTCCGTCTAGAAGCGGAATTATGAGTTCCGGTTATAAAAGAGTAGAATCCGTTTTTGAAATATTAAAAAAACTTGCGTTCATAAAGTAGTTAGGTCGAGTGATCGAGTCCTAGATAACACCCAGAAACATACTAGAAAGAGGGTAGACCATTTTGCCTGCTCCTAAAATCTTAACTACGTTCTTCAGTCTACCTGTGAGAACGGTGTTTATAACAACGCTGAAATATAAGGGACTCATTAAAACAAGAGATAGTATTAAAAACCTGTTAGATAATAATATTTCCATCTAAGAATAAGATCTTTTATATTCCACGTGAAGAGAGTGGGCCGCGAAACAGGTGCACCTTTTTTTATTTGTTACCCTGGTAGACGAACATACGGCCCACCTAATGGTGAGTGGTTACCGTCGCCCATGGAATTCAGCAATGCCAGGGACAGAGCTAAGCCGCTGTCTACCGTAACCTTCACTGGAGTCTCCATTACATTGTGTAACGACTATATCTTCAAATTCGCGGTACAAATAGACAAGCTAGTGGTATCCACCATACCTACAACACGACCTAACACCAATATTATTTATCCTTCCTCCTTGCTCATAAAAAATGTATACTTAAACCAAAATTTAGAACTAAAAGAGCGAAACCGCAGGCTACATCTTGGGTATAGGATTGTAAATTTGAAGACGATAATCTCGAAACTTTTCCCTTTAAATTGTAAGTGGAATCAGCAGAGGCTCCTTGAGGGCAAGATCCCCGGTACTATCCGACACTGCAAATCTATATCAAGATAATCAATCATTTCGTCCTCCAACACACAAATATAAACTACACAGCAAGGGCATCCAATCCCTTAACTGTATCATCGAAGATGGATCGCCATGTAATTTCGCCGAGTCACCATAAATAAAACAGTTATGTTGTTATTCTCCCTAAAGTTATGGCTCCGCGGAGCTCGAGTCGTGGCGGATATAAATGGCTTCTCTGGCTGAATTACATTGCCAATGACTTATTATTCAGGGTAAAAATACTGTTATTATTGTCGTATTGTCGTTATCTGAAGAGATTGATAACTAGTACGCGGAAACTGAGAAAAATAAGCCAAGACGAAATAGGTAGTAGTTCCTCGTGTACGAGGAATGATGTTGTGTTTGTTCATAAACGTTGACTGACAATATTTGTTCAGAATTAATTTTGATGTTTACATTAGTTTTCTGTTTTTTCTCCAATGTCTCATTGACTAGCGAACTGTATGCAGTACATATTTTTCAACCATATTCGCCGTGGACCTAGTCATAGTTGACGAACCAATCCAAATAAAACAGGTTGGTCTGTCTACAGTATCTGACTAGCGGGCGGCGTGACAGGGTCTGGCCGCTTCATTAGATAGAGTACATAAAAATGATTTCAAATACTTACAGGCAAACTTGAGAATAATGGGGTAGCCCAACACCAGGCCATGGTGCCTCACCCCGCACTGGTAGACCCCCTCGCTGGTGCCATCCTTCTTCTGCAGTACCTCTAGGGTCACGTTCGTTAACGACCTGCGCGTAAATAATCATAAATCTATATTATTATGTTTCCTTATTTTTTCCAAGAAGGAATTGATTGGATTTTTAAATTAATTAATATTTTTAATGGAGTGCCCTGAAGAATTGTTCGAGATGATACCAACGTCTCGTTTTTACCATCGCACCGCCCGCCACTAGAGTAGAGCTCATCCATACTGCCTGGAGCCACTATTTTGCCACGTACCATCCGGCTATGGAATGATCTCCCCTCCAGGGTGTTTCCCGAGCGCTATGACATGTCCTTCTTTAAACGAGGCTTGTGGAGAGTATTAAACGGTAGGCAGCGGGTTGGCTCTGCCCCTGGCATTGCTGACGTCCATGAGCGACGGTAACCACTCACCATCAGGTGGGCCGTATGCTCGTCTGCCTATACGGCAATAAAAAATAAAAAAATAAAAAATACGCTTTTATTAGCTTCAGACGTATGTATGTTTGTAACGGAATCTTTGAACATGATTTTGACCCTCTTCAAAACGTCGGATTAACTTGAAATTTGATACTCGATACTTATTAAGGACTAATGATAATTCAATATTAAAAAATAATAATAAAAAAAATTTAAAAATTGAAATTTGACTAAAAAATTAAAAATAAATAATAGTTTAAAAAAACTAACAAAATACGCTTTTATAGAAAATCCAACTAAAAAATAGAAAGTAAATTTTAATAAATTTGAATTAAAAATAGTGTAAGAAAAAATGATTTTATTATAAAAAAAGCGTGGGGTGCATGATATCAGTAGGTAGTTATAAATATTTTATGAACAGATATGAGTAGAAGGGTTGATGATATCCTGAAAAGCACCCCACGCTTTTTTACAAGAAAATTATTTTTCTTACACTATTGTTAATTCAAATTTATTAAAGTTGTATTAAAATTGTAATATAAAAAATATTATTTTCTATTTTTTAGTTGGATTTTCTATAAAAGCGTATTTTGATAGTTTTTTTAAACTATTATTTATTATCAATCTTTCAGAACAAAGAGAGAGTGCGAGGGTCGTATATTTCCCTGTCTCTTTCTGTTCCGAACGACTAAGGCGGTCGGGCTTAAAGAGAAGGACAACCGTTACACCATACAATTATATACATATAAGTCTCAAATATATAACATACCCTACGTAGAGTAGATAGCTAGCTTTGAACTAACAGCGCAGCATTTTGTTTACTTACTGCTTAATCTCCTCGTTATCCTTAATCCAAACGTAAGGCTTGAGACGGTTCTGGTCATCGGAGTCGAGGAGTAGTGGCGGGCCGCGCACCACCAGCGTCTCTCCGTCGGGTACCACGCACGGCAGTAGCGTGCGCGCGGGAGCCCATGTCACTGGTAAATCTATAAACAAGAGAGGCTCGTTAAAGCTATGTAATGAACGTGCTCTCCGATTATACACTTGATTAAATTGAGATTCAAATGTGTTCAACTACCCGAGCCGTTGACAGGGGAATCGCGAACCAGTGAACACACCTTCGCGTGATTTATAATAATCCCGGCGATCCCATGGTCTTATCAATCATTTGCTATGTTATAATTATCGTATGCTAATTCAGGTTGAAAACTATCGAAAAATATTTGATTGAACGCCGGCCCACCATTTTCGCGTGGTCGAGTAACAACATTCAAACATACAAACTTTTAAATTCATAATTCAAAGTAGTTTTAATTAATCTTCCCCTTAACACACACGCCCATACGCGCCCGTACGCACACAACTTACACAAAAGTATACACATACAGTACACAGTTCAGGTCACACAATTGTTAATATAACCTATTAGTATTAAGGTTGTAAAATCCTGTTGCCGCCTTATTTACGCATACTATTATAATGTACTTGTTTAAATTTATATATTTATAAATAAATTTGGATTTTAATAGATAATATTGATAAAGGTAAGGAGTGAGCCCCGATCACGTTGCGACTCTCGCTAATTGTACGGACAAACATACCTACGAGTAGATCTGTTGGAACGATTTGCGCGCCCCCATCGTACGTTGTAAGCTTATGTGCTAATCTGATATATAAGCTATGCAGTAGGCAGCGGCTTGGCTCTGCCCCTGGCATTGCTGAAGTCTATGGGCGACGGTAACCACTCACCATCAGTTGAGCAGTATGCTCGTCTGCCTACAACGACAAAAAAAGAAAAAATGACGTCGTGAAGTTTCATCAAAATCCGTCCAGTAGTATTGCGTGAAAGATTAATCTACATCCATCAATTTTCACACACCTTCGCATTCATATAATCGGCAGCAACTTCTGCGCTTCTTGAGCTAATTAGTCAGATAAATAGTTACGAAAACATGAATGAAAATTATATCCAATTCCAAAGTTATAAACGAAAATTATTAATTCCGAATCTCTCGCAAACCTTTTACGAAGTTCAGGAATAGCAAACCTTTCGCGTGTCTCGGGTTACAGCAAATAACATCATCGCTTTTTTTTATGAGATAAATCGGTGGGCGAGCTCACAGCCCACCTGGTGTTAAGTGGTTACCGGAACCTATAGACAACGTAAATGCTGCCACCTACCTTGAGATGTGAGTTCTACAGTGTCAGTATAGTTACAACAGCTGTCCCACCCTTCAAACTGAAATGCATTGCTTCACGGCAGAAACAGGCGGCGTGGCGGTACCTACCGGTGCGGACTCATGAGAGGTCCAACCACCAGTAAAAAAGAGAGAGACTTACTTACCTTATTATATACGTAGAAATGGAAAGGACTTAGAATATGCAAAACAGGATAAAAAATCCCTTATGAAAGTTGGTTATTATGTTCCACAACGCAACTCGCTCATGAGATCGAGATCTGACATTACATACAGATTCCCTCTCTCCAAACGATAATATTATAATTATGCCGTGCGCCATGCGCCATCAGACAAGCCGGGAGACACCGTTCAGTAAGTTTAATGACGGACCAGTCGTGTTGGTACCTACGAAGGTAAACGAGCATACGACCTTTTTTTTTCTACAGGAGAAAATCACCGCATCACCACCCGCACATCGAAAACCTCCTGCCGCTCACAGCCGGCGCCCTAGCCCGGACCGAGCCGGAGCCTAGTCGGAGCTATTGAGACGGCGGGACAGGGTTTACGCAGAGCATATTACATCCATCCCGCCATCCCCCAAACGCCGGACCGGCAGCCGTCAGCAACACGACCGCCGGCTCCCTGGGTCGAAGAGCATACGACCTAGCTAATGTTGGGTGGTTACCATCGCTGGCGGACGGCAGCTTCGTCGAACCACTGATTACCAACAATTCTATAATATCCTGAAGAGTCATAGATAGAGCCGACTTTGTCTATTGCTGACCATAGATTAATTTAAGAGTTAGAATATTCACTTGCTGACATACCGGTATGAGACTAGATAGAGTACGAATATATTCAAGAATTACAGAATACAGATTCGAGAGTTGAACCCTGACTAAACCAAAAAATACGAACCACGAGGCCTTTTGCAAAGTCATAAAGTTAGTACAGGTAATCCTTTAATCACAAAGGTACATGGCGACGGATTTGATTTCATTGAGTGACAATAAATTAATCGTAGGCTTACTTTTGAACTTCTTCATCTTTAATAATAGGCAAAAACAAGACAGTTATATTCGATCTTTCCCCCTATTTATTTATAGCTCGACTTATTTATTTTGTTTCATAACTATTCCGGAACTCCTCCTGCATGCCAAATCAGTGTCTTTGAAAACATAAGAAAAACATACTACACGCAATCGATAAGCATCTTGAGTCGCCAGTGACTGTCGTCAAACATCGTACAATGAGCGGGCACTAGTCTTTATAAACAAAATAAATAATAGTATAAAAAAACTTACACAATACGCTTTTATAGAAAATCCAACTAAAAAATAGAAAATGAATTTCAATAAATTTGAGTTAAAAATAGTGTAAGAAAAAATTATGTTATCAGAATATTATCAAAGTAACCCTTCTTACTCATTACTGTTCATAAAATATTTATAACTACTGATATCATGCACCCTACGCTTTTTTTTACAATAATTACACTATTTTTAAATCAAGTTAATTAAAATTTATTTTATATTTTTTAGTGGGTTTTTCTATAAAAGCGTATTGTGTAATTTTTTTTAAACTACTATTTATTTTTCATTTTTTTGTTGAATCTCCTTTTTTTTTTCAATTTTTTTTAAATAATGAATTGTCATCGGTCCTTAATAAGTATACCAAATTTCGAGTTAATCCGGCATTTTGAAGGGGTCAAAATCATGTTCAAAGATTCTGTTACAAACATACATACGTTTGAAGCTAATAAAAAAAAGCGTATTAAAAATATAAATGTTTGTATGTGTGCTTGCTCTGCGTTTCTCAGTCGTTCTCCCGATAGTTATTAAACTTGCCCCTCAGAGCAGATCAATTGGCAACAGTAAGCGCAGTGCGGGCCACTAGTTCTTGATTTGTCTTGCCTAATGCAACCAGAATTAGGTCGCCGCGCCGTCTCACTAGCTGTTCCAAAATAAAGATTATGATAACATTACAGAATATATATCTCATTTTCATCTGCCTTTATTCTATTACTAACCTCAATTCTCCTAAAATCCGTTAAAATATTTATTTATGAAAACGCTCACGTCATTTAGCACAATATTAAAATGTTGATGAGCAAATAACTAACACCTTAGTCGTCCGTGCGCACGGAAACGGTACTCGCAACATCGCTACAAGTAAAATTAAAGTAGTAATACAAATAAAACGTTAAAACAGCTGTAATTGACAATCGCTAGAACAGTCAAAGGTTCGAAAAACAACACCCCAAAGTTTTTAAACAAAACACGAATTTCCTGTACAATTTACGCAACAAAAGGCTCTTGCTTCCGAGCTAAAATAATAATGTGAAAAGCTTGAAAAAGGAAATTGAGTATTTAGGGCAGGATGTACCAGGGACTTTGTTACTAAAACATTACATTTACATCGCTTAGTGGTCAAATTGTTTTAGTGTATTTGGAGGACGCCATTACTTGGTGCTTTGAATAAAATTACGGAGAAGACAACTACTCATCCGGTCGTAAATAGTTACCGCAGGTAATGCCGTGAGAAGATGCCTCAGACTATCCATGAAATACAAAAAATAAAGAGTACTAAGGTATCTTCTTAAAGCAACAGTTTCCGAACGATCCGTTATTGCCAATATAACTTTCCGGGTCATATCAAAATATAAATGCAAACGTTGTCCACGTTATTAGCAATGATAATATTCCAGTAACAGGCTGCCAAAGGGACCAGTCGTGAACACTCTTCACGTACAAGTGAAGCAACGTGGCGGTACCAGCCCTGTCGCGACCAGCAACTCTGATCACGAAGTAACTATGTACTTTAAAACTAGTCTATGTTGTTAAATGTTAATATGATTAATTTTACGACAAATGTAAGTCCATGTAAATTGTGATTTATATTTAATACGTTATTTTTAGTTGTACGATTTACATAAAACATTTATAACAATTAAAACCAACAGAATAATAAAACACAATGAACCAATTTTTTATGTATTGTTTTACGAACCTTAAAATTTATGTAATTAAAAAAAATACCTACAGATGTATGAAGTTGTCGGTATAAACAATCTGCGGTATTCAATTAAAAGGGAGTAGCGTTAACAATTTATCAATAAAAAACATTAAAATATTAGAATATGAGCGCAATTCGTGTAAAATCTATATATATAGAAATAGATAAATCCAAATCCAGATCTCTTTAAAAAAAAAGTGTGTGTGTCCGCTCCGACGCACGACTGGAGTTTACTGGATATAAAAAATTAAACGAAACAATACGAGAAATAGTTCTATATTACGACAACACGATACACTACAGATTATTAACAAATTAACGAGACACAAAACAAACGACTAACAAATATATGAAAATACAATAATGAGAGAAACGCGCGATCAGTACGAGGCTTTGTGGCGGACTGCCGGCGCAGCAGCCCGGCGTCACCTGCGATAACGCGGCCGCGCGTTGGCTCCTGATTGGCGCGCGCACGCATCACGCAATCAGGAGCCAATCAGGCGCATAACGCATTTCGTGTGACATGCTAGTACGATTTTGATTGGCGCGCGCACGCATCACGCAATCAGGAGCCAATCAGGCGCATAACGCATTTCGTGTGACATGCTAGTACGATTTTGGTCCCCATAATTTTCATACCCCGGGCCTATATATGTAAATCGATTCTAAAGGAGTAAACTCCAATAAGCTTTCAAATAAATTTGTCTGTCGCCTGTCGGCTGACCAGTAGTGACATCCGCTTGTGGAGGATCCTCTTTTTGTCGGCTCCCCCAAAATATAACAAACAAATG